TGAGCCACAATCCCAGGCCCCATACTTTTAATTTATATTCTAATTTGACTTATAAATGTAAGTATAGTAGAAATATATTTGTGGAAGTATACTAGAAATATATTTCTAAGTAAAACTGTAAATATCTTTAAAAATATATTCACACAAATCAAAACTACTTTAAGATATCATCTCACTCAAGTCAGATGGCAGCTATTATGAAGACAAACAACAATAAGTATTGACGAGGATGTGGGGGAAAAGGTACACTCACACATTGCTGGTGGGACTACAAATTGTTACAGCCAATATGGAAAGCAGTATGGAGATTCCTTGGAAATCTGGGAATGGAACCACCATTTGACCCAGCTATCCCTCTCCTCAGACTATACCCAAAAGACTTAAAAACAACATACTACACACAGCCACTTCAATGTTTATAGCAGCACAATTCACAATAGCTAAACGGTGGAGCCAACCTAGATGCCCTTCAGTGGATAAATGGATTAAAAAAAATGTGGCATATATACACAATGGAATTTTATTCAGCATTAAAAAAGAATTAAATCATGGCATTTGCAGGTAAATGGATGGCGTTGGAGAAGATAATGCTAAGTGAAGTTAGCCAATCCAAAAAAAACACAAATGCCGAATGTTTTCTCTGATATATTTTCACTCATAGTAGGGTAGGGAGGGGGAGCATGGGAGGATTAGATGAATTCTAGATAGGGAAGAGGGATGGGAGAGAAAGGGAGGCTGAAGGGGATTAGCAAGGGCAGTGGAATGTGAAGGACATCATTATCCAAAGAACATGTATGAAGACTCGAATTGGGTGTAAATATATAAACAAATTTGAAAACTTGTGATATATATGTAATAAGAATTGTAATGCCAAAAAAAGCAAAGTACATGTATAAAGGCATGAGTTGGTGTGAACATACTCTATATATAAAGATATGAAAAATTGTACTCTATATGTTAAATAAGTATTGTAATGCATTCCACTGTCATGTATTTAAAAAAATAAATTCAATAAAACTAAAATATACACACACACACACACAAATTAGAACATAAAGTGGAAAATAAGGGGGAAAACACTGAGACATACTATAACACAGATGAACATCAAAAACATGCTCAGTAGGGAGCTGGGGTTGTAGCTCAGTGGTAGAACACTTGCCTAGGATGTGTGAGACACTAGGTTCAATTCTCAACACCACATATAAATAAGTAATAAAAATAAAGTTCTATCAACAACTAAAAAATAAAAAAAAAACACCACAAAACAGACACAAAAGACCAGTTATTGTATTATTCCATTTATATGAGATGTCCAGAAAAGGCATATGGATCCCGAACATGGACAGTGGTTGCCTTAGGCTGGGGGAAGAAAGACGGAGTAACTGTAAATGGGCATGAGGGATCTTACTGAGGTCATAGAAATGTTCAAAAAAAGGACTATTGTGATTACTACACAACTTCATAAATTTACTAAAAGTCATTACATTGTACATTTTAAATGAGTGAATTTAATGGAATTTGAACTATACCTTGTTAAAGTTATTTTACAAACAAACAAACAAACCCCCCAAAAAACCCAGGAGGCTGGGAATATAGTTCAGTGGTAGAGTGCTTGCCTAGCATATGCAAGGCCCTGGGCAATCCTTGTCACTCCAACAAAATCAAAAAAGTCTAAAGGAGGCTGGGGTTGTAGCTCAGTGGTAGAGCTCTTGCCTCATATGTGGAAGCACTGGGTTCGATTCTCAGCGCCACATATAAATAAATGAATAAAATAAAGTCCATCAACAACTAAAAAATATATATATTAAAAAAAAGTCCAAAATAAAATTTTACAAATATATGAAAGCTGAAATTGTTCATCTCCAGCTGACCTAAACCACTTTTAGGCATGAAGTGATAACAACAGATGGAAATATGATCTATAAAAAAAATAAAGGGCACTAGAAATGGTAATTAGATGAGTACATGTATTTATCAATTTTTAAATCTTCACAAAAATTGTTCAAACAAAATAAGCAATATAATGTGATGTTTGTAACACAAAATACATGACAACAACATAAAGATTAGGAAGGAAGAAACAAGTGTTTTTACAAGGTACTGTTTGTGAAAAGGTATATCACTTGAAGGTAGACTATATAATATATAGTTTTTTTCAGTTATTGAAGCTAAAGTCATGCTATAAATATGAGGCAACCACTTAAATAACAAAAAGAACGACAGATAATAAACTAACAAAGGAAATGAAATAATCAAAAAATTTGAAAACATAAGTTCGATTAATTCAAAAGAAGAGAAAAAAAAAGAGAAAGAGAACAAAGAACAAGTTGGGCTAGGATTGTAGAGCGCTCGCCTGGCACTTGCGGAGCTCCAGGTTCAATCCTCAGCACCACATAAAAATAAAATAGATATATTATGTCCACCTACAACTAAAAAATAAATATTAAAAAAAATGACAAGCCAGCCCGGTGGAACACACCTGTAATCCCAGTGGCTTGGGAGGCCACAGGAGGACAATGGTGAATTCAAAGCTAGCCTCAGCAAAATTGAGACATTAAGCAACTTAGTGAGACCTTGTCTCTAAATAAAATACAAAATAGGACTGGAAATGTGAATCAGTGGTCGAGTGCCCCTGAGTTCAATCCCTGGTACCAAAAAACAAACAAAAAAAACCAACAATAACAAACAAATCACTGTCTTAAATTTAAATATATTAATAATCACATTAAATGTAGTCAAACACCTGAATTGAAAGGCAGAGATTTTCAGATTACATGAAAAGGAGGAAAAAAGAGAAAAGCAAGACGCAAATAGATGCAGCTTAAAAGAAACACACTTTAAATACACAGGCACAAACAGGCTAACAGTAAAAGGACAGAGAAAGATATACCATTCTAGCACTAATCAAAAGAAAGGTTAATAACATGTTAATATCTGCCAAAGTAGATTTCAGGGCAAATAGTATTGTGAGGGATAAGAGAATCATTTCACAATTATAAAGGGACCAACTCATCAAGAGGACTTAACAATTCTTAATATTTTATACACCTTATTACAGAGCTGAAAAATACATGATGCAAAAACTGATAAAAGTACAAGGAGAAATAAATACATGATAATCATACCTCTCTCAATAATTTAAATAACAAATAGAAAAGATTTAAGTAACATTACCAATTTGCCCTCAATGATACTTATGAAGCATTATGACATAAATGAATTCCCAGCAACAAACAGTAAAATACACTGCTGATTACAGAATATATCTTTCTCAAGTGTATACAGAAACTTGAATACATTTTAAAGGCTTTAAGTCTCACAAAATACAAAAGCTGGTTCTTTGGAGATCAATATAACACTTCAGAATCAACTATGTGAACAGAGTATACTCAATAATGGCACTTGTTATGTGTATCACTCTAAATCTGAAGATGTTGTGAAGAAGACACAAGGATATAGACTCAGGTTACAGTCCCACTCTACATATTTCTATATGAAAAAAAGATTAAAATGTCTACCCTTGGACAAACCACACAGGTCTTCTGAGTAATAAATTTCCTAGAAAATAATGAATTAGACCAACTCTAAAAACTCTAAGATCTTCTATATGCTAAAAAAGAGATACAACCCTACTATAAACAGCTCAAAATGACCCAAGTATTCAGATAAAAACTCTAGAAATCTGAATTAGCACTTTCCTCAAAATTAACCAGGTTGACCAGAGAGGAAAAGTTGTTCAGTTCACCCATAACTAAATATTTTCAAACAGAAGCTTTGGGGGAAAAAGCCAACGAGGTATTTCAGTCTTATTTAAAACCAAAAACTAATAGTATTATTTTATCTTTTCTGTTTATCACTCACCTAAGATGGCCATGTTAAGTGTATCTATTTTATCCTCAATATTAACTCCTAATAAGGCTGATATTGTGCGAGCCTGTGCGTGTGTGTGTGTGTATAAACAAAATGAAGAAATAACAGAGCCTGCACTGGAACGAAGCCCTCTTGATCATAAACAATTTGTTCAAATGACTAAGAGCATACTGTGGGTCAGCAATTTTTACTGTCCGAGGTATTTAGGAACCTTCTGCTGCTGCCTTTTAGGAGAAAGCTACCTTACTTAAACAAGACTGAAATCTGCAAGAGTCCAGATTACCTTTATTCTTAAAGGCAACCTATTCAAACCAGTATGTTAAATCCTTGAGGTGTACTACAATCCTTTTTCCTAGGAGTCAGGTGAAAATCGGTGCTAAAAATGGAAGATAGCAAAAATAATGAAGACCCCCAAATTGAAGATAGTGAAAAAAATACACCGGGCTGGGATGTAGCTTAGAGGCAGAGCACTTGCCTAGCATGTGTGAGGCCTTGGGTTCAATCCCTAGTACCGCAAAAAAAAAAAAAAAAACGTCAGAATAAACAGCCAAGAAAAATAAATAAATAATGTTATTCTCCCATTCTGTCTTCATTTTATAGGTCGCTGGATTCAGACTTGAAAGAAATGAACTTTAAAATGGGCCAAGTACCACCCAAAATCAAAGCTGGGGCTCACTCATCCTCCAGGTCAGAGCACCAAAAGACACACCTCCCTTCCCCCAACCCCAGCAGCCGGCTTTACTGGTGACAAGCGTCTTGCGCTGTTTGGAAAAACAACCTGGAAAGCACAAATTTGTTTTTAAAAATATTAACAAAAGCAAAAATAAGCGCTACACACACACACACACACACACCCCTAAACCTACGAAGGTCGACTGGCCCCGTTCGGAGAAAAAGCATTTCTGAACATTCCGTCATATAAGACAGAAGGATGGGCAGCCCCTGAGCGAACGCTAGAACCAGGAAGCCGCGGGCTAGCTGGGCCGCACCGCGGCCTTGGGCATCCAGGCTCCCGAGCGTCAGGCGCCGCGGCTCTAACAAAGCAGCGGGCGCGCGGCCTCGGCCTGCAGCCGGGTCCCGGCGACGCCCCAGGCCCCCGCCTTCCGCCCGCGCCCTCCGGTACTCACACGCGCAAAGCTCCACCACGTACGCGTAGTAGGACCAGATGATCACGAAGGAGATGAAGAGCACCGGCACCCATCCCACCACGCGCTGGCAGCAGCGCCACACCGTCCAGGGCGCCATGTTCCGCGGGCTACGGTGAAGCCCCGTACTCGCCTCTGTAGGGAGACTCCAGATCTCCGGCGGCAGCGACAGGGTTTCTCTGTCCGGCTCCGGGCCAAGATCTCCCGCCTCTCCCGCAAGGGTAATCAAAGATAAAGTCCGAAGCTTCTCCTCGACTCCGCCCCTCTCAGCCCTCGGGCTGGTCCCGCCCCCACTCCACATCCTGTCGCCCCTCCCCCGTCCCTCCCCCACCCCCATCCCGCCCGAAGCCGGTCGCCTCAAGTCTCCGCGCTACCGGGGCGGGGCTTACGCAGCCGGAGGGGATGGGCGGGCCCGCCGCTTGGGACCGCCCATGGGGCGTGGCGGGTTGGGGCGGGCCGGGAAGTGGAGAGAAAGAAGTGGAAATCTAGAGGCTAGGTAGTGGCTGGCAGGGGTGTGTGTGTGTGTGTGTGCTTTTTCAAATATGACAATGCTGTGCTGTACCACAGCATGCAGATGAGGAATGTATTCACTATAGGGTTCCTCCAGTTATTCTGTGTATCTCTGGTAAAGAACCCCTGGGCTGGGCTGGGCTGGGGGTATAACTCTGTGGTAGAGGTCTTGGCTAGCATACATGAGGCTCTGGATTTAATCCCCAGTACAGCTAAAATAAAATAAATAAAAAATACCTTTACTTTGAAATAATTCCATCCATTATTCAAGCGGAACTTATCTTTTGGAAGATGAAACCTGTAGGAGCATGTGATTTAGGATAGAACCATTACAGAATCCATCAGATTGATTTGAAACTCATACTCAAGGTTGAGTTGTGAAAAAAGGTGCAGGTAAATGGCTCTTTCCCTGCTTCCCCAAAAAGACTACTGAAATTTCAAGAATTTATTTACAACTGGAGATTGCTGAGCGATGACTATAATCATACTAGAAGCATCATTGTGAATACATCATAATGCAAGGTCAAAGCATGAGAAGTTTAATTCCAGTCAGCCACCTTAATACCAGTTCCTGCTACTACTATTTTTTAGTTAGTCTTGAGATTTTAACTAGCAACTGCTTACTAAAGTTTCCAGGAAGAAGACTTGCCCACTTTTGTAGTGTGATGATAAAAGCAAGTAATGATTGTTTTACCTCTGCACAGTACTGCTTGAAATAATAAAGCATGGTGTCTCCAGTTTTATACCTTAAACATCCTGTTAGTGACAAAGTTGACACTAGGTTCAGGACATTAAAGTGAATTACATACAGCTCGTTTTCCAGAGATATTGCTTAGAATAACTAAGCTTTAAGATGCTATTTAGATTGACATGGAAGAATATAAAGCCCTTTCTCCTCCTACCACATCTACACAACAGAATCATATTAAAGCTTAACACGAATACCATGTCATCCAGAAGCTCTTTGTCTGCTGGAAATAATTTCTATTTGTTATGCCATTTTGTTTATAATGCTAACTAAGAAACTATATAAGCTCGTTTCCTAGAGCTGCTGTACCAAAGTACCACAAACTGGGATCTTAAAGCACCAGAGATTTATTGTCTTACAGTTCTTGGAGCTAGAAATCCTAAATAAAGGTGTTGGCAAGGCTGTTCTTCCTCTGAAACCTGTAGGGAGGATTTGTCCTTGCTTCTTCCTAGCTTTTGGTGGTGGCTATCAGTCCTGGGCATTCCTTGGCTTGCAGTTGCATCATTCCATTATCACCTGGCATCCTCTTCCCTGTGTCTATCTCTGCATCTCTATTAATACTGGATTAAAGGTCTACCCTATTCCAGTATAACCTCACCTTAACTAGCTACATTGATAATGTTTCTATTTCCAAATAAGGTCATATTCTGAATTATGAGGAGTTTGAACTTCCAGAGACATTTTGGGGACATACAACACAAATTTAGTTTTAATTTTAATTGAAATGAATCACCTTGCCTCCTACTTTGTAAGGTTCTTGAAGGCAGAGTATTTTTTACATATCCTATTTCCCCTGCAGTGTCATGCAAGTAGGAAATATTTAGTAATAATTGAATAGACATTTGAAGGTTTTTGTTATTTAGATGTTATTCCTAACTTTTGGAATCACCAGCCAAATCACACTACTTTCTGATTCCAAAATTACCACTGTGTGTCTAAAAAGGTTTTGATTTTTAAATGGAATCTATAAAATATTTCTGATCTATTTCCTTGTCCTAAAGTCATTCCAGTGAAGATATATTTGGGGGGAGGTGGTAACATTTTCATTCTTTTGGGAATGTTTCTATCTTTAGTGTCTACAAACATGAGTTATTCAATGTTCTTTTTCTTAATATATATTTTTTAGTTGTTGATGGACCTTTATTTTATTTATTTATATGCAGTGCTGAGAATAGAACCCAGGGCCTCACACATGCTAGGCAAGCACTGTACCACAGATCCACAACCCCAGCCCCTTCAATGTTCATTTGCTATAAGCTAACATCTAAACCCCTTTCTTTTCCATGTTGGGCCAGTGATTTAACTCCATCTCTGCTACTGATTGTAACAAAAGGGAATCCTTAGGCAGAGCCATTATGTAAGCAGAATTACATTGTCTGACAGTCACTCTGGCCATGGTGAGAAGAATGGATTGGAGGAAATAAAGTCTAGAGGAAGGGAGGCTAGTTGAGAGGCTGCTGTAGTCACATAAGTACAGGTTGATCATGGCCTGAAAAAGGATGGTGGAGGTGAAGGTGACCGAAAAGAAAAAGCTGCTTCAGATCAGCTTTGGTGCACCACTATGCCCCAAAACAGCAATGGCAGATAAAATGGAACACCTAAAAGACAAATGGAGATTCTGTCCTGCATTCCCAACCTCTGTCCTCTCCATCCCCAACAAAGGAAATAAAATATTGTGCTGATCCATCTCTAGGATTGTGGCTTTCAGTGAAGACTGAAGGACTACAGACCCCTAACCCAAGAGTGCCAAGCTGTCAGCTGTTCTGGTGACTAATCTCTGATTTTGCCATTATAACCACCAGCCAGGAACCTCTAAATACCATTTTAAGTTCTAGTTCTGACTAAGGAATAATAAGGGCAAGTAGAGGCAATTATGAAGCCTTATGGAGGGCTTATTGAAACCGAGTAGATACAGATATGGAAAAAATAGAGAAGAAAAAACAAATTTACAAATTTTAAAAATTAAACCACAGTTCCAAAACACATGAAGAAACCCAATACTAAGGACACAAATAGGGGCTGGGGTTGTGGCTCAGGGATAGAGGGCTCGCCATCAAGGTACTGGATTCGATCCTCAGCACCACATAAAAATAAATAAAATAAAGGCATTGTGTCCAACTACAATTAAAAATTTATTTTTTTAAAAAAGGATGCAAATAAAAATCAACAATCAGAACTTGAATCCACATGACATAGAATTAATTACAGGAAGTAGCCTAACAAAGACTTTTACAAACAGTATTTGGTATGCGTACTCAAAGAGGTAAGTGAAGAAATAACTTCTATCTAAAAACATGAAAATTTGAAAATAATAGACAAAAAAATGGAAAAAAGAACAGGTGTGGGCTGGGGTAGAGCACTTGCCTAGCAAGTGTGAGGCACTGAGTTCAATATTCAGCACCACATAAAAATAAATATATTGTGTCCACCTACAACTAAAAAAATTTTTTTTTAAATTAAGAACAGGTGGATTTGAAAAATGACCATTTAGAAAACTCAAAAATAGGGTATAGCTCAGTGGTAGGGCCTAACATGTATGAGACTCTGGGACCTAAGGTTAATCCTCAGCACTGCCTGATCCTTATTCTCTGACCTTCCTCTTTTTTTTTTTTTTATTAGGATTTTTAAATTTGTTCTTTTTAGATATAATGACAGTAGAATGTATTTTCACATATTATACATACATGGAGTATAACTTATTCTAATTATGATCCCAGTCTTGTGGGCTGATCTTTCTCTTACGTAAATCAAAAGACCCTCACTTAAGATGTGCCCCTGATGGGCTGGGCACAGTGGTGCACACCAGTAATTTTAGTGACTCCAGAGGTTTAGGTGGAAGGATTTCAAATTGGAGGCCAGCCTCAGCAACTTAGTGAGCCCCTAAGCAACTTCATGAGATTCTATGGCAAGATAAAAAGTAGAAAGGGCTGGGGAATCATATCAATAGTAAAGCACTCTAGGGTTCAATCCCCAGTATAAAAACGATTTTTAAAATTCTAAAAGAGGTGCTGGGAGGAAAAGAACCCAGAGGAAAGGAACATTCTTATCCCAAAAGACACAGAAATGCTGAGAAGAATTGAAATATACAGGCCTTGTAAATTTCCTCCAGTTTATTCCATTAGATCATATCCTTTGCCTTCCAGTCACACCATTGCATGACTGTCCATGAAAACATATTGCTTTCCCTATTTCTTTGGGTTTTTGTTTCTGAAGGCTGTCACATAAAACATAATAGTAAGTAAATTTGTATGCTTTTTTCCTTGTTAATTTGTCTTACTATAGGTACCTTAATGAGGAAATTTGCAATGGGTGAGAAATCTTTTCTCCCCTACACTACCTACAATAAAAACATTCTTTGAGAACTTCAAAAGGACTGTGTCTTGCTTTAGGACCAAATGAGTACTAACTCATTTTTGGAAATGCTGTCAACTTGAAAGGCAAGCTGAGGTACACTGAGAATGAGAACAAAGAGTTTTTTTGAGCCAGTATGAAGATGATTACCCCAGGGAGGGCGGGGGGCAGGGGACAAATATCCACTTAGAATCAGTGCTTTCCCAAATGGCATCTTGGGGGCGTGGGAGGTAGTTGTTTTTTTTTTTTTTTTTTTTAATTTTTAATTTTTTTTTTTTGTGGTTGTAGATGGACAGAATGCCTTTATTTTATTTGTTTATTTTTATGTGGTGCTGAGGATTGAACCCAGTGCCTCACACATGCTAGGCAAGTGCTCTGCAACCAAGCTACAGTCCCAGCCCTGGGGGCTAGGTTTTTAAAGATTAAGAAAAAGGGAGATAGATTATAGTAAAACTGGTTGTTAAAATTGCATTCATCAACAAAAAAAGCACAAGTCATTGATTGGTGATTGGTCATTTATATTATATATTCCAGGTAAGAACTGTGATAGGGCCTGGGGGCAGAGCTCAGTGGTATAGCACTTACCTGGTGTTCAAGACCCTGGATTCTATCCCTAGCACCTTTCGGGTGGGGACCAATAAGGAAAAGGCTGTCACTGAG